AAGAGTTGGAGTTCTGGCCATCCAGTGCAACATAAATGGATCTCTCCTTTAGGTAACTTTCAAACCAAGTGCAAAGTTTCGGCGATAATCCCATTGCTTTGAGCTTGTTGAGCAGATTTTCATGCCAAACTTTGTCGAATGCTTTAGATATATCTAAGGCAATTGTTCTTGTTTCACCCCGCAACTCAATCGCTTTTTGCCATAAGTGAGTGACGTATGTAAGTAAATCGCCAGTTGACCTATATTTTCGAAATCCGTATTGCTTATCGTTGATAATTTTGCACTTTTCCAAGTACTTGGTTAGGTGATTGTTCACAACTCTTTCCATTACTTTTGATATCACCGGAAGTAGAGCAATTGGTCTATAGTTTAACGGATCTGTCTTTTTTCCTTTCTTTGGAATGGGTTGTACCGCGGCAGACTTCCATGATGATGGATATACTCCTTGCCTGTAAGACAAATTGAATAATTTTGCGAAAGTTGGGGTGAGTTCGTTGGCGCAATTTTTGAGTACTATTGCGGGAATGCCATCCGGACCCATTGCTTTGTTTGTATCCAGCTTTTTTAGGGATTTTCGTATTTCTCTGTGACAAAAGGGTACCTCTGGCATACTATGGGAAACCCTTTCAATGAACGGTGGAGTTTTTCCGTTTGGCACTGTTAGGTTGGAGTTGGAGGAAAACATTTGGGCAAGCATATTGGCTTTTTCCTCTGATGTTGTGGCTAAGTGATTATTTTTATCTGTAAGTGGTGGTATGGATGACTTGGTGAAGTTAGATCCAACAGCTTTTGCAAGAGACCAAAAAGACCTAGAACTACTTGGACAATTCAGCAACCTGTTTTTTATTCTTTGATTGTATGTTTCTTTAGCGGAGTCAATAGTAATTTTGCAACTATTTCTGGCTTCTATAAATTCTGTGTTGTTTTGAGCGGTTTGTTGTCGTTTCCAAAGGTTATATGCTCTGTGTTTTTTCTGTACAGCCGTTTGACACTGGCTGTTGAACCAAGGTTTTGCATTAGCTCTACGTTTAGTTGTATGTGGGATATATGCGTCCATTCCAGATAAGATTACTTGTGTTATTTCATTACAGCAAATAGTGGGATCAGCTGTTTTAAAGCAAACCTCTTGCCATGGAAAATCCAGGTAATACTGTTTTAGGTCATTCCATTTTGCCGATTTATAGTGCCACATTTTACGAGGAAGTGGTTGTAGGCTTGGTGGGATGAGCATTTCGCACTTTGTTATTATAAGTTTATGATCGGACGAACCAAGTGGAGCATCTACTTGAATTGTGTACGAGTCAGGATTGGTGGTTAGGAACAAGTCTAAAAGCGCTGCAAATTCGCCCCTTTCTGAGATACGGGTAGGTTCATCGACAAGCTGCGTTAGACCACAACTTATGGCAAAAGCTTCTGCTTCTCTGCCTTCGTTATCTGTTTTGTTGTGGTGTTTCAGCCAGGGTATATTGTGGACGTTGAAATCGCCTAAAAAGACAATTTCCGCCTGTGGATAGTTTGACTGTATACTATCACAGCTTTCGGATAATGTCGCGAAAAAGTTTTGGTAATCGGTGTTACTTGGCGGTCGGTAGAGGCAGCAGATAAACTTGGTCGATGACTTTGAGGTGAATTTTAGCCATATGATATCAAGGTTCGCTGGTTCTAGCTTCTCCTCTCGATGACATGAAAGGTCATTTTTAATGTACACACAGATCCCAAAATTATGTCGAAATCGGTGGTGTAGGTCATAGCCGGGATAAAGATAGTTCACAATAGGTGTTGCAGAACTGATTTTAGTTTCAGTGAGAACAAGGATGTCAGGTCTTTGTTCTTCAAGATGTTGGTGAACTGAATTCATATTTGTACTTATTCCTCTTATATTGCTAAAATCAATTCTGAGTTGAGTTTTTGATCTTCTCTTTATATCTTTGCATGAAGGACCCCCAGGATCACCCGGCGCCCGGAGATCCGAGTGGTCGGGTATTTTACCTCCGGAATATTTTGATCCTGGAGGCGCCATCATGCTATCTGTTACTCATTGTTGGAACCGGACTGCCAGCGCAGTAGCGGAACGTGGTGATACCACTTAGCGCTACTCAATTCTGGCATGGTGGTATCTCACCGGTCGACGCCCAATGAGTAAAAAGCGTCTACCACCTCTCGCGGCAAACAATAAACAAAAAACATATGTTTTTTTTTGGCAGGATTAAGCCTAGTACCATAGAATAATATACGAACTAGAAGGATAATTGCATGTTTAAAATCGGGCCCCTCCGATGGATCCAGGCTTTCTCTCGCGCGATTCCATTTGACCTCTGAGTACGAAAACCTAGACCGTGTTGCCAATTGCAGCACATTGTCGTTGTGTTTCTATCTTTGTAATTTTATTTTTATTTTAATATCTACTTAGATGAGAAAAATGTACAAGAATAATATTATTGGCTAATTACAAAATTTTTTACTAGGTCCAACAATTTTTATATCGAAAAATGTCATGAATTTGTCAAAATTCAGTTTTCATACTTTTTCACACATACCTCGTGATATCTCTGAAACCAATTAAGGTAATTTCATTAATTTTTTTTTATTCTAAAGAGATTATTGTAACGAAAATCACTAAGATAATTTTGTTTTTCTGAAAAACTCGCTTTATTCGTAAAACTAGGTAAAACTTCAACTTACACTTTTTATGCAGTATTTTTTTTAGTAAGCGAGAAACTTTTTTGTTTTAAGGATTTCTGCCATACTATCAGCGAATGAAACAAAGCTAAGACATCATGGAAGTTTTTGAAAAAAACCACGATACTCCGCGATGCATAGTTTTCAAGATATCGTCACTTGAAGTTGAGAGTTTTATCGGCCGTGCACTACCTACTCCGGGTAGCTTCGCCACAGTTAGCCCAGCGCGCGTCTTCAGTGTCATTTACATCCACTTAACTTAACGTACCTACGGAAAATTAATAATAAAGAAAAGTTGAATATAATGTACTTATATAAACCTTGCGTTCGGTATTTTGCTCAAAGAGCAGAGCGTGCCGAGCGGAGCCATAATCACGTGACCAGTGAGCGAACAGAGCAGTTGAACGCTGTATAAAAGTGCCAGAAATTTTAATAAACGAACGCGAATGAGGCTGCACCGAGTACACTTTTTAAATAAACGAACGGTAAAGTCAAGCTCGGAGAACTCGGACCAAAATAACGAACGCACGGGTAGTTGTTTACATCTGGGGCCTGTTTCATAAGAATGAAGAGTTGATGAGAGACGAGTGAAGAGTGAAGAGTTGAGGAATGAAAAGTAAATGTTGGTTTTGTTTCAAAATCAATTTGCGTCTACTCCTCATTATTCATGAAGAGTTGACGAGTAGAAGAGTACACAGAATAATATCCCAGCCAATGAAGAGACACTTCCGTAATTTGTTTAACTGTAAATCCTCCTCCTTTAGTACTTTGCTTCAAGTTATTATTCAGAATCATTTCCAGGGAAGTACATTTTTCTTCGGACATCCTGAATCTGGTGTTTGCATCAAAAAGTCTATTCTCTCATCACCCGTAGCTTTAAACAAATCTGTAGGTATATTGTACCAAATGTCTCACCTTAGTCTCTTTCTATATAACTTTATCTGAATCTTTGCCTTTGCTTTGTGGCACATTTTCTTCATCGGATGAAGAATCATTGCTAAATAGTAGATTCTGCATTATCTATATATGATGAGCACTAAACGTATTTAAAATAGAAATAAGGGTCTTCATAAACTCGTCAGTAAATCAAGTTGAGGAATGAAATGTGTTTAGATGAAATGAAATTCAAAATTTTGTAAACTATTCAACTCTTCAGCTCGTCATTCTTCAACCCTTCACTCCTCAATTCTTCAACGCTTTTCTAAAATAAAATGTAACATTATGTCACTCCTAACTCCTCAACTCTTCAACTCTCCATTTTTTATGAAACAGGCCCCCTGGGGCCTATTTATTTATATACGATTATGTCAGAATAGAATGTTAAACGGACATATTTCGTCGGAAAAACGGATGCATGAAAATCCTTCCTTAGGAGAGTACGCATCGCACAACTGACAACGTAAACGTCGTCATTGATTCAGGTATGACCATAGGTATGACATACACCCGTTTTCTCACGTCAGAAGACGGGTGTATGTCATACCTCAACCAATGACGACGTTTACGTTCTCAGTTGTGCGTCGCGTACTATCCTAACAAACCGTACCTTAACAAACCGTACCTTAACAAACCGTACCTTAAGGGAGAAAAAAATTATCCAAAGGATAATTAATTATTGGATAATTAATTACGATCATTTTGCTAAACTTTTGGAATAGTATTTTTTTCATTCGCAGTTTTGATTAACCGATCTGTCAACTTACACAATATCAATATAAATATCCTGTATTCTAATATCTATTCGTTCTGAAAATAGACTAGGTCAAAACAAACATTGGAACGTGATCACGGAGATGCAAGTGGATTACCCGGTTTCTATTGGCTTGTTTAGTTGCTGACATCGATGTCTCCCGAAGTTTGCCTAGAGCCATCCACCAATGATGTGATCACGTTCCGGCGTTAGTTTCGATTTAGTCTATTTTCAAAACAAATACACATAACACAACACCTACGATTACTTACTAGAATTTTCAAATTCAAAAACATATGAAAAGTCCGCTGGGGTAATAAAAATAGTATCATGCTTTGTTGCATATTACCAGAATTCGTACAAAAATTTCCGGATATTATTTCTACACGAGTTATACATTATACCGTTTACTACAAGTAATATCCACCTTAAGTATCCTGTGAATTGACCTGACACATCATACCTTAATACATTCCAAAAAGGAAACATAACCTTATAAAGGGTATCTAATAATTGTTGTCTCCATGTTGTAAAGAGTTATTTTGCTTTAAATTGACCATATATCACATGTGTATTAAAATATTTATTTTTCAAATTCTGCATAAACAACTATTTTGAATTGCTATTTCAGATAAAGTGTCCTGGCTTAATACCGAGGAACGTAAAGAAGTTCATAAGACAAAAACTTAAATTGAAAATTATTATTAAATAATAAAACTTTCCTGTTTAATAAATATATTTCCAAAATTTAATCTAAACATACGCATATTTTATTTTTTGAGAACTTGGAAGTTGTAGTGGATTTTCAGGGTTACGATTGCTTGGATTATTAATTTGTATGCAACAAAGGGATCGCTTGCGGAGTGCCCAGAGAGTAGCTAAGTGGAGTGTGGAACTTCCAGCCGTCGACTAGAGGGAGCCGGAGTTTTCTGAAATCAAAGTCCTCCAGGAAGTCAAGGCAAAATACAACGGGTCAGAAATAGTCAATACATACTTGAAAAGAAACAAAGTTTAGGAAACTTCAAGCTATGCAGGAAAATGCGCCTAAATCCCAGTGAATATTTTAAGGTATTTCATCATCATCTTGTTTGATTCTCAGGTATTCATTGCCTCGGGTAATGTAATGTAACTAAGTTGCATCTTTTATTAGTGTCGTTTTTCATTTCACGTTGCAGTTTTTTTCTACTTACTTTCGCTATTACCTTTTTATCTTTTTTTGATGAAAGGAATACGTTCCCAAATGATATAGGATAAATACGATCCTATACTTCCGCCTTAAGCCTTGACGAGAAAACCTTTTAAAAGAAAACCCCTTAGTAAAAAAAGTTACTGACCGAACGATAAACAATGAGATTCCTTAAGCAACTTGCTGCTTTTCGTTTTGAGGGCCATACGTAGCTTCTATAAGGTCGAGTGGACCTATACGGATAAGGCGTCTTTCTGGATAAGAGATACTTGACACACAAAAAGTTTTCAGGGGACAGATCAAGGAGGATTAACACTAGCGTGTTAATTGAAGGTTTGTTCTTTTAGCGAAAAATCTAGCATGTTGACTTGATCGTAATAACTTTTCATTGCACAAACTTTCCATTACTTCACTGATATTCTTTAACCTTTTTTTTTCAGATTTGAAAAAAGAGTGTCTCTTTTCTAAGCGTAGATTCAAAAATTGGGTAACCAAAAATGAACTGTAGAAATATTCAATAACTGCACCATATTACGAACGTCAAAAGCACGACGACTCGCGACGCTACCAACGGCCAGTCCGGGCAATTATCTAGGCGGTGATTTATCGGAAGTGCATGCGAAATAAAGCGGCCATTTGTTGCATTAATCATTTGGAGAAAAATGGGTTGTCAGTTACACTTGAAACGTCCTATATCAATATCTATATACCATTTTTTTTTTGGATGATTTATGGAATAGATGTTCATATTGCCACAGAAAATACTTATTTGATGGACTAGATACGTTTTATTTATTAAATTGAATATTATTTGTAAGATTTTTTTTCAAACTGAATAGCCAAAAAGAATATAAAATCAAAAAAAGAAGACAAGGTTGATCATAAAATTCTTTTTAACAAGTTGTCACTGTATGGACTATTTGGATCTTTTCTTAAATGGTTAGAAAGTTATGTATCTGAAAGATTTCAAATTGTATCTATTAATAATTGTCTGTCTTTTTCCATAAAGGCTTGTTCAGGGGTGCCTCAAGGTGGACATCTATCACCATTGTTATTTAATCTATTCATCAATGATTTGTGTCAATGCATACAAAATGCCACTTTTTTACTTTTTGCTGATGACTTTAAATTGTTTTCAATAGTTAATGAGATAACAGACTGTCATGGAGTTTAACAAGATCTTGAGCGTTTTACTTTGTGGTGCTCAAATAATTGTTTATCCTTGAACACAGACAAGTGTAATGTTATGAGATTTTTTAGGGTACAGAATCCAATAATATTTGATTACTCTGTCAACAATGTAATTATTAATAGTGTTGACAGAATCAAGGATCTTGGTGTATTTTTTGAACATAAAATGGACTTTAGTATATTGGAAACAGCTACAATAAATGTTTAAGATTATTAGGGTTTATGTCTCACACTTTGGAGGAGGTTAATAACATTTATTGTTTCAAGTTATTGTACTGTTCCTTAATTCGTTCTATTGTTGAATATGCCAGTCCTGTCTGGAATCCACATTATCTTAAATACAGGGAAATTCTAGAAAAAATACAGAGACGATTTTTACGAATTATTAATTACAAACTTAAAATACCGAAACAAGTTATTAATTATGTCTCCCTGCACAGTTTATTAAATTTGGACTCCTTAGAGAATAGAAGATTTATGTTGGACGTTAGATTTCTGTTTAAACTGATGAATAACAATGTGGATAGTCCAAGATTACTAGAATTGGTTTCTCTAGAAGTTCCTCAAAGGACAACAAGAAATTTTTCATTGTTCCATATTGATTTTCATAGAACTAATTATGGAATGAACTCGCCTTTGAACAGAATGGCTAGTTCAATAAACCAATTAGATATTGATATATTTAATATATCTCTTAGACAGTTCAATAGAACAGTAAATGAGTTCCTAAAAAATAGAATTTAAGTTTGTTGTTAAAATAAAATTAAAACAGTTTTTGTTAAGTTTATACCTATGAAATAGATTTATATGAAATTATTGTAAAAACATTTATTGTTCAAATGTAAATGGTATATCCGTTAAAATAAATAAATAAAATTTTAAAAAAAATAAAGACAATATCTGAATAACAGATTGTTGAATAACAGATTGTTTGATAACGATGTGTCTCTGCGATCGTCTTAACTGTTGAAACGGCTCTTGAATTTCAGCTTTCGCATTACGTTCTAGCGGTTCATCTATTATTTCGCTTCCTTCGAAATTTTTGAAAATGTGGGATTCTTCCTGAATTGTAATTGCGTTGGATTTCTGGTTGTTGAACCATACTTTTGGAAAATATAATATAGCTAGTTCATCGTGTATTTTCTGAGGAGCTTCAGTTGAAAAGTTAACTTCCTTCTTCTTCTTGTGTCTTTTTAGAGAAAAGCCTGGTTTGCCTCATAGCGCGGACTCTTTCTCCCACGCTTAATTTTCGAATTTTATGTATCTACTTGTTCTTCTGATCTAAAATGCTTATGTGGTCGAATTGCATCAAGCTTGACTCTGATGTTCCTTTTTAAATATAATTCTGCAGGTAATTTTCCACAAAGAAGAGGGAATATTTCAGTAAAATTTATTTTCTAATTATAGGAAAATGATCTCTAGATATAGCATCAAGTCGAGTTGCAATAGCCTAAAACATTATTCTGATGCAATGAATTTTTGGAATATACCATGGTCTCAAGCGAGCAGCTTGGTGAAAAAAAAAATACATATTTTTTTAACTTAGAATCAATTGCAGAGAGAGTAGCATAGATACCTATATCTACATAATTCTATTGAATTAAGTAGACGATCAGCAGTATTTTTTTTTTAATTTTCAATAGTAATATAACTAGTGCAATGGAAATTATTTATAATTTTTGGGAAATTTGCCCGAATGCATTTTTAGTTGAAAAAGAGCACGAGTGCCTTTTTCAGTTAAAAACGCATGAGTGCAAATTTGTCGAAAATTATAAATATATTTCCATTGCACGAGTTGTATTTAATGAGAGAATTTCATAAATCAACAATTTAAATTTTTTGTCAAAAAATGTCAAAACACCAGTTTTCGCACCAGTTAGTATGCAATTATCTGATAATTTGCACTAGTGCAAATTATCGCGTAATTACAATCTTATTGGCTCAAATCAACAATCAAAACATGTCAATTTATTGTTGGAATACCAGTTTTGACAGATGTATGAAATTCTCATAGATATATATTTTTCATTTTGAGATAGTTTTCAAAACGGTATTTGTAAAAGACGCTATCTTATTCTTATTTTTCCTGTATATGCTTAGATGAACAAATCCATGTTTTATTAAATGTTGTAAGATAATTATTAGGGAAGTTGAGTACACGGGAAGAATTAAACGAGGACCGATAGAGAAAACTGATTACTGTATATTGGTCTTTGTATTAACAAAGAAAACGGAATGAAATTTGCGTTATAGGTTATAGCACTATGAACATTGACATCATAGAATAAACACAGAGCATTAAGGTTTATAGTGGGGATAGAATGGACACTCCCGTTATACGGGTCGAACTAGACGCCACAGAACTACAGTGACTCTATACAAGACAGTGGCGACAATAGTGCCTAAGCTCCGCCCACCCGCCATGTTTTGTCAAACTCATTCAATAATGCATTTGATCTTTATTTTCTTTCTGTTTTAATTTTCTGTCACAAAATAGTTAATAGCAGGTACACATAACAAAAACAAAAATATATTAACACAAAATTGCATAAATCTCCATATAGTCCAGGAGGCAGTGAAATTTTTTAGCACTTATTTTCCCAGTTGGTGTCTATTAAATAGTTTGTTCTCCTGGTGATACAAAGCAAGAGTTTTTGAGTCTGCCTAAAATTTTTGGATGGGTTCACAAGATCAATGAAAAACACAAGTAAATAAATAAATAAATAAATAATGACTTTATTATCCTTCAAAAAAAAACAAATACAAAAATTAAATTGAATAGCGGCGAGATCTAGCTTAGAGCTACTCATATCTAACCGCAAAACAAATAATTATCTACTAATTGTCTAGTACCAAAATAAAAAAAAAAATACAAGTTTCTACAATATTATGTCTACACTCTTCACATTCATTCGCAAGATTCGACAATAAAACTTTTAACACTCTTTTTGAAACCCGTCACGGCGGAGCAAGAAGTCACTTTGAGAGGCAGGGAATTGTAAAATTTCACGGCATTGTAAGTAAAAGAACGCTGATACAAAGCAGAGTTGTGTTTTGGAATACTAAATTGATTACTGTATCTAGTTGACCTTTCATGAGTATCAGACCTACGACTCAGCTTCTCAAACAGATATTCGGGCTGTTTCGTTGTGACAATTCTGAAAGTCAAAGTTGCCAAATGCACAGAAAATCTTTTTTGTAGGTTAAGCCATTTAGATTTATCAAAAAGAGGGGATACATGATCAAATTTCCTATGGCCGTATGAAAACTTTAAACATGAATTCTGCAATTTCTGTAAGC